TATGTAGGTTGGAAAGGAAAGAAACCTTTAAATGAACTGATCCGGTTTGAGACGAAATTTTTTAAGATAATGCGAAAAAGAAATATAACACAAGTATCGGATAAAAAAAATGAAATTCCTGCCAGCATTGTACATAAATATTTAACATGAAATATGTCCGAGATTATAATTATAATTTGATTTGAATATTTCTGCGTTAGTAACATGAATGTTCGTTTGTTCTTCAGTAGCATCTGAAGTTCGAAATTTGGAAAAAATAAAATCACTGCGTCGAAAGATAGTTTTAATGAGCCGGCGAAAAGGTTTCAAATTTTGGATATTCAAAACATCACAACATTATGTACGTGGTGCAGTTTGTAGGTGTTAAGGAAAAAATATTTGAATTTAAAAACCGTTGATTCAAACTCAACTGAATAAAAGATAAACTGTGAACAAAAACCATTTTGAACATTCAGGACCGGCGATGAATTTCTCGCATAGATTAAATGAGATTTCAAAGAAGATGAATTTTCTATATTGTTAAAAATATGTTTTCACATATTAATTTTTGAGTGAGGCAACTTATGAAGGAAAATGAACATCAGAAGCAGAGCTGCATGACGGAAACCACTTCTCCACTAACATGAGCTCAAAAAAAAAAAAAAAAAAAATGTGTGTGTGTGTGTGCGTGTGTTATGGCAAAGCCTCGAGGGCTATCTTCCTAAGGGGAGGGATGCCTTCGTGGAGGACTTTCTAAGGGAAACTGGCTCGTATACACGTTACACATGGGGGAAAACCACGAAAACGCCCATGCAGCCAGCCCGTCGCGGGATTCGAACCTCGGACCGAACTACCAGTGTTCAGCGACTGTACCGCTCGGCCGCTGGTGGGCCTCAAAAAAAGGATTTATTTGTTTAGCTAAAAATTCACAACATAAGTACTATCGAATATGAAGGTTGTCAGATGATTTGATGAAACCAAATTCTGTCTTTTCTCAAATAAGGTAAGCCAGAATGCCAACATAGCGTGTAAAGAAATACATTGAAGTGTGTTCAGCCATATGATTCTAAAGGAGATAAATCTATAAAGGTGTCTCGTAATTTTGATTGCTGTTATTTAAGCTAACTAATAGAGATGGACAAAAAGATTATGCATGCTGAAAGATCTGCATGCTAACAGAGAACTGCTAGAAAATCATATACTTCCTAATGCAAAATATTTATAAATAGGATTCTCATAAAGGTATCCAATTAATTGGACTGAAAAATTTAAGGTTCATAAAGCTAAGTCCTTTATGGATTACTGTGAGGTTTATGGCTTGAAGCACATGGAAAGGGCCAGTTAATTTGCCAGATTTAAATCCCTTCGAGAATTACTAAAGGTCACCTTAAACAGAGTAAGAAACCAAAATACAGCATCTCAGATACTTCAATAAATTTAAAAATAAACTTCTCTTAAAATGGTAAAAACTGATCCCAGATGTTAAAAGTCTTCTTGAACCTCCAATATTAATACTTAATTTCTGCACGTAATGATGTAACTTAGAATTGAAGTAGAATTCATGGAGAAGTCTGCAGCTGGAAACAAAATATTAGTCATGAATTTTATTTGCTCTGTTACTGATGGATATATTGGATGGGAATTAGCATGAATTATAGTGGCACCGACTATAGTGGGTCTTGGATGATGATAGTGGGGACTAGAGTCTCCGATAATCCAAGACTATACTTCCTATTAGTTAGTTTCAAGTTCCTATTAGTTAGTTAAACTCAATAAATATAAATCAATTCTTCAAATATTCTCAAGAGGATGCAAATCTTAAATTTTACGTAGCTTAAGAGCTCAGTCAGTTTAGGAGGAATATCGCAAAAATAGCATCCAAAGTTACAAATACAAATTTTAATTTACAAACCCAAACCATAGAATGTCACCTTATTTAATTTTTGTGTACTTCATACAGAAAAACTGTTCACAAATATGCAAGTTTTGCAAAACATATATGCTTCACAAATATATATGTCATGTCTACTCGGTTTTCTTTGCACTGCCTATCTCACTTCAACTCTGTACATTACATGATATCAAACTTACCTGAGAATTTATACAACTGAGGTCTGGTATTAAGGCAAAAAAGGCTATTGTCATCTGAGAACAGCAATTATTCTTACGCAACTTGCATTTTCTGAAATCTTAAATTTTATTCTCAAATTTATGTCATAAAATAGGAGTTGGTGCCGCGTATTTTCGCTCTTTACTTATATCTAAATTGGTTTATTCATTCTGGCTGTAGTGGACGCTGATTGCCAATAAACGGTTGAGTTATTATTTGGCCGTACCATAGATATGACAAAAACAATATATTTAGTCATAAAAGTAAGTGAAATATATCCCAAGGGCACCCAAGGCAAGGCTAATTTTCGCGAAGAATTTTCTGAGGGAAAATGGCTTGTATTCACATTATACTTGGAGGAAACTACGAAAACACCCATGCAACCGATTTGCTTACTGGGATTTAAACTTGAATCGAGCTAGCAGAATTCAGCAGTCTGATGCATTTGTGGCTCTTTGTGCAGAGAGTTTTCCAGAGCAAATTAAAAATTGTTTTTAGTATGAGGCAGACACAATTTCAATTTAATCCCGAATGCTTTCATTGTCGGAGGCATCATATATTATTTGCTTTTGGCCTTGGAGGCGCATGTTCAATTAATTTAGGACAATAATCATATACATTTAAAATCAAATCAAACTGTTCTCATTCCGCGCCCAACAGTGGCAGAGTGGTAGAAACGGATGACACTGGTAGTTCCAACGGGTTTCAAATCTCGGGGAAAGGGCTGGCTGGAAAAACATTTACACAGTTTTTTCCTCATGTGTAACATGAAATAAGCTGGTGCTCTTAAAAATGTCCTCCACTAAGCCATCTTTTTCCTTTAGGCAGATAGTCCCCGAGTGCTTTGCCAGTACCTAAATAATCCAATCCGTTCTCATTTCCATTTCAACAACACAGGGCCCGTTTGGCTCATTTTTGGAGTAAACAATGCGATCCCTATCAACAAACTCTGAAAGCAGCGGATGTGAAGTTATTGCTTTAACTTGTTATAAACGATTCACAAATTGGCTTCCTAAGTAAAACTTGAATGGTTCTGAGCAAATCGGATTGGATACCTCTTATCAAAGTCCTAACGTTCTGCTGCCGAAAACGCATTTTTACACTTTTGAATGCTTTATTAGCAATTTGATTGAAAAAAGAAACTTAGTTACACCTCAGTTTATCTTTTGAAAAAAAAAAAAAAAAAAAAAAAAAAAAAAAAAAAAAAAAGAAAAGAAGATATAGTGTCGGACACATGAAGAGGCGAATTAAGTGAACTTTCCTTCAGCCTTGACTTTCCACTTCATACTTTAACCTTTTCGACGTACTAGGTATGTTATTAGCGTGACTTTATAAGTGGTTCGTGGCAAGAGCTACCGAGAAACCCTTTCAAGGCCTCTTTTCGCACTAGTGGATTCCCTGCAAAATCCCCCTCATCCATTTTAATGGCAAAGAGCATAAAAGCAACTAAGTACATCACATAAAGCAAAAGAGAAAACGAAACGTTTTCCCCAGAAGAATAACAAACTACATTTGCCAGTTTAAAAAACATTACCACCTAATAAGCCAAAATCTTTTATACATACTTTTCGAATCGTAAGACGGAAGCTCTAGGCATAAGGTATCCGAAATCTTGATATTTAATACTTCTGTAAAAGCAAACATCTCAGAAATTTTTATACTGTTTATTTAAATTTAGTGCACATGCACTATGACGGCGACTAAAACTGACGGTAAGGTATTTAATTGTAAACTGAAATAAATTATAATTCCAAAATATAGCTGATTCAAATATTTGTCATACTTTTTTTTACATAACCGTTAAATCGAAAAGTTTGAATCTATTATCTTGTTGAGACAGAGCTCAAAAGGGCAATCTGCGTCTCAAATTTGATCGATAGTACCTCAAGGGATAGAATCTAAGGGTCTGTTCTCCGATTAACTATTAATAGGACTTTCGCATCAACCGATTTTAATTGCTCCTGTACTGTAAAACTACTAGGGCTTCAAACGCCAATGTCTTGTTCCAGGACTGGTGTTGGTGTATTTAGTTATGGCAAAGCACACTAGGGCTATCTGCCTAAAGGGAGGGATGCCTTCGTGAAGGACTTTCTAAGGGAAACTGGCTCGTATACACGTTACACATGGGGAAAACCACGAAAACGCCCATGCAGCCAACCCGTTCGCGGGATTCGAACCTCAGACCGACTACCAGTGTTCAGCGACTTTACCGCTTGGCCGCTGGTGGGCCTGTTCCAGGACTGGAAGACGGAGCTAACAGCATGTGCAGTCAGCCTACGCGAAACACATGCGATGTTCGAGGAAGAACTTTTATTCAAGAGTCTCCTTTTCAGATTGTCCCCTAAAATAAATAGTCCTATATAAATCCAATGAGGCCAATCTGTTCTGTCGCTGAAAACCGAACCCGAACAAACTAAGTGATCTTATTAATTTTACCACTGGGGGGCACTGATTACCAATTAACCGGTTAAGTTATTATTTAAACTCCCTATAGTATGGTAGTTAACGATAACCGCTTTCATGCCGAAAAGCCCAGACAAGATGATACATTAACAGTGCCTTTGGCTCACAAAATTTCATCTGGAATTCGGGCAGTTCTTCAGTCTTGATGCAGCCTCAAGAAGTTAGTGGAAGAGGAGAAGTGCAAAACTCACGAATTCCGCTTCCCCAAAAGCTTACAATCAAAACTAAGATAAGCTTTGCAGTGCTGTACTATCTTTACTAAAGATGTGACATTCTAGAGATTCGATTTATGAAGGCTGTGAGCATATAAATTCACCAGGAAAAAAATATATGAGACGTGAGTATCCATTAAAGGGAAGAGAAGGGTAAATGCTGTGAAATAATTTCTTTGCAACAGTTGTATTACCCTTAATTAGGTTATAAGGTATTTATCCCGCCTTCCTAGCGTGCTTTCGTGGTGTAGTGGTTCAGCACGCTGGGCCGGGATTCCAGAAGTTCGCGGTTCGATTCCCGGCGAAGGCATTGCTATTTTTCATCTCTCCCGCTTCCAAAAAATAACTAATGTCTCTACAGTGGCGCCCGAACTAAAAGGGTTTCGGATAAGGATTCTCCACACCCAGGATTTGGCGATTGGGTCTCCTAAAAACCCCAGTCGCCCTTTAAAAGGGGAAGTATATAAGGTATTTCTCCGGCCTTCCTAGCATGCCTTCGTGGTAGTGGTTCTGCACCTGGGCCGGTATTCCAGAGGTCCGGTCGTGGTTCGATTCCCGGCGAAGGCGATTGCTCATTTTTCATCTTGCCTACTTCCTAAAAATTAATCTAATGTCTCTATAAGGTGATAATAAAAGGAAAAAAAATAACAAGAGTTTTAAATGAATTTTACAGATGATCGGATTTCTTGAAATTACAAATCAGAATATGCTTCCACTTAGCTTCTAGCAGAAACTTGCTTGTGAAATTTACTTAAACTGTTAAACTTTATTTTAACACCCTAATGTCCTATATGCTAAATCTTCTCTCCACTTTTACTTTCTGTGAACTCCGCCAAATGCAGTCTCCGAAACTGCTAAGTCACTTTAAATAATGAGCGAGAATGTAAGGTGAGAGAGAGTGTGTGTGTGTGTGTGTGTGTTGACGGCTATTCCAGGTACGGTCTCTCTCTCTGTCAGATTCTACTCACCAAAGTGCTGTGTCAGTTGATGATGATGTTTGGACTTTTCTTGTAGTTACGGTAAAACGCGTGGTTAAGTTTCGATTAGCATTTTAGCTCTTGTAGCTGAAATTCAAAGCACAAATAAATGTTTTAGTTACTTTTGTTTGTAGTAATAATTTTGTATTATTGTATGTTAAACTAAACATGGAACAAGAACTCGTCTGACAGTCTAGGAAGGATACTCGGTGCTTATATTAAGTGCATTTAGAGTACAAACTTATGAAACTGTTACATGAAACCACAAAATATTAAATTCTATAAATAAAAGTTTTATCCATTAATGGGACGTAGCACTATAAAATTAACTCTTTTAGTGCGGGATCCTTGAATGAAGAGTCCACCTTTTATCTTGAATATACGCGGGAAACTTTCTTATCGCGTTGGAGAAACTGGAATTAACTTCGATCAGTTTCGCAGAAAGAATAGCTATTAATTTGTTTTACGTTTCGATGAATTTGATACCCGTGGTCAGAGGGTTAAAAAATTGCGTCAGGAATTTCATGCACATGGTAGACGGATTGTTAACTGCCAAGGTAAAAGAAAACACGTATAGCTTACGGCTATGTCTTTTAGAGGAGTATCTTACTGCACTTTTGCCTACTTGCCATCCCTTCGTCTATCTTTAAACATGCCATCTCCTTTGATTTTAATTTAATAAATATCAGTTTTATTCAGCATTTTATTCCCAGCAAGAGAAGAAAATTATTAATTTAATTTTCTTGAAAGTCATGTCCTAAAATGTTTTCAAAATTTCATAAAAACATTACATCAATAAAATACAAAATATGTCTTGGCAAAACAGTTGTGGATTATTTGAGTTGCTTTTATTTAAAATTAGTTTTATAATTGAAAAAAATTTAACACGTTTCTTTAAATCATCTTTCTGGTAAAAGAATAGTAAGCTGCGAGATGTGAAAAAAGGTTGTAGAGACATTAGGTTACTTGGAAGCTGAAGACGTGAAAAATGCCCTCACCGGGAATCGAACCACGGACCTCTCAATACGCGCCGAACGTGCTGACCACTACACCACGAAGGCATGCTAAGAAGGCGGGAGAAATACCTTACCTACCTCCATCTTTTAAAGGGAGACTGGGAATTAGGAACCCAATCGCCAGATCCTGGTGGTGGAGAATCATCATCCGCCACCTTTTGTAGTTCGGGCGTCACTGTAGAGATATTAGGTTATTTAGAAGCTGGAGACGTGAAAAATGAGGAATGCCCTCGCCGGGAATCGAACCACAGACCTCTCAATACGCGCCGAGCGTGCTGACCACTACACCACGAAGGCATGCTAAGAAGGCGAGAGAAACAACTTACCTACTCCCCCTTTTAAAGGGAGACTGGGGGATTAGGAACCCAATCGCCAAATCCTGGTGGTGGAGAATCACCATCCACCACCTTTTGTAGTTCGAGCGTCACTGTAGAGACATTAGGTTATTTGGAAGCTGGAGACGTGAAAAATGGGGAATGCCCTCGCCGGGAATCAAACCACAGACTACATTTTCGCCTCTTTATTCAGCAGACGAATTGTATTAATATTGCATTAGCTATCTAATGCGAAAGTGGATAATTAAATGTAAGTGCTCTAATTAGTGGCTATCCAACGGAGCACTTGACAAGCAGCATATTTCCTTAGAGTTTTGAGGGAGACTATCTGGAGGTTCTTCTAGTCTGTGTTTTATAGCATAAGAAGCAGATTATTCTTTCATTTTAGGAGATTTTAGAAGCAAGCAACATCAATTCTAGAAGATTTTTAACTGAATTTTTTGTTTGTCAAACATTATGTGCCAACTCTGAATAATTAGTATATATTATTGGTGCGTCGAAGGCTAATAGATTCGTGGCGTTATCTCCAGTACAGTTATTTATCTTTGATAGAGAACGCTGCTGCGGAAACAAAATACATTTTTTGGAGAGCTTTTTTTTCAGGAAAAATTCAAATTTCCCCTTAAAATTTAAATTCAAGATACTTAAAAAGAACATCATACAAGCAAATGTACCTCAATTATGTACTAATTAAAAATCAGGTCGTGACTCTTTTAGTATCATACAAAATAGCCATAACATAAAATATGTAGCATCTCACTGAATCATTATATCAAATTTTATTTTACGCACATAAAAGTTTGTATTACTTTTCTATTCAGTGTACCTTTATATGATATTATTGCTGAGAAACAGCAAAAGTAAGAGAACATCATAGATTGTTTTTTAGATCCATAGAATGAAATAATGAGCTCGCTTTTATTTTATTTATGTTTTTAAACATAGCAACTGCATTCTAATGAATGTTTATTTAAAGCCATTTTTTTTTAAGATCAGGTAATTGAAATTACTAACTAATTAACTGAAATTACTACTAACTAATTGAAATTACTAGGAAGACTAAAAGCTCGCCTTAATTATTTGTGAATAGTCACACAGCAAACTGCAGTTAAGACCAGCCTACTTCTAATATTTACTAGCTTCTTTCCTCGAATAAAAGTTTATGCGATAATGTAATTTTCAAGCGACATTTTGAACATCTGCGATCAAATAAATCAAAGCCGACTTTATCCATATTTAATTTTACCTTTTTTAATTATACATTTTGGAACTACTGAAAAAACCCTTGTAGGTAGCTATCCTAAATAACATGAAGTATTTCATTCAAACATAAATATAAAATATTTCAAAAAATTAATGTAGTATATTAAATTTAATTCATAGCACACTGTTGCACATAAATGTATGCATTACTCTACAATGCATGTTTATTTGATATTACCGTCAAGAAACAATAATTCGTAAGGGAACTTTTCTGAATATTTAAGTTAGTCCGTGATGGAAGACTAACCTAAATTTGCCCATAGCAAAAAATATTAAACTACCATATAGCAAATATTCTTGATGTTGATCATTTAGATTACGGCAGAGCACGCGACGGCTATCTGCCTGAGGAAAGAGGTGCCTTCATGAAAACCGTTTTAAAGGAAACTCTTATTCACGTTACATATGGCGAAAACCTAGAAAATTTCGAGGCAGCCTGCCCATTCGCCAGGATTTGAGCCGGAGTCCATCTTCTGAAGTCAAATTGCGCTAAGATAAGGTGTGCATCTCTATGAAAACAATCATGGAAAAAAAGTGCATAAGTTAATCTATAACACGAAATCTAAATAATAAGAACCAAATGAAGAACACTGAATTTCCCCTCTCCTCTTTATTCGGGAAAGAATCGTTGGAGGTTACTCCGCAGAGAGCAGATTTCATTTGAAATCTCGCAATATAAATTAATAAATGATTATTCCTACAAGTTTAAAGCAATAATCTTTTTGCTTCTTCTCGTGCACCTGATGTACTACATTCTGAGCTTTGGAAAAGCCTTTTTCTGCTTTTCGGAATTCTTACATAAACTTCTGTCGTCGTATGTTTATTTAATCACGAAAATATTAGGAAATAAATGCAAAAGATTTATATTCAGTAGAATGGGTAGTAGATTGCTAAATTTCCATGGGATTGTACACTTCATTTTCAAAATATTCGCAAGAAAAAAATTGTAAATTAGTTCAATTTATTGCAAGCGAATATCGATGAGTATAGCGTTCATAAATTTCTGCGGATGACTGCTCTGCATTTCAGTCAGAAATCGAGTTACTTGTTTGCAACTCCAACACAATGTTCAGCAGTCCAGTCTTATCGCTCGTCCCGTAAAGGGCATTTTTGATGCTATTAGATGTCAAAATTCAACATTTTCCTCAAAAATCTAGGGCCAGTTTTGATTAACTGGTAATTTTTATGAAGTGCTAATTATAAAAATAAATTTTAGTCTTAGATTGGTAAACTTTAGGTGTTTTCTACGGCAAAGCATTCGAGAGTTATTTGCTATGTAGAACTACTTTCTAATGCTTCCTAAAAAGAAACTGGATCATAGGCACGCTATATATGAGAAACAGACAAACAAACACACCACGCGCCGCGCAGACGGTATAGTGGTTAGGGGAGCCTGACTGCTTATACCAAAGGGCCCGGGTTCGAATCCCGGAGAAGGCATGGATGTAAAAATGTCTATCCCTTCATAGGAGGTAACGGTGGTCGCCTATTAGGTGCCTGCATAATAAAATGGTCACCGCTTCTGGCCTTAGCAGTGGCCAATGCCGTTATAGGCAAGTGCCAGCCATTTGTATAAAAAAAAAAAGACCACGCAATCAGCACACTCATTTTAACGAGAATAAGAAACGAAACGAAATAAACAAATGAATTATTTGAACATAGTAAGACACACAAGAGCTTCTGACCGAGTGAGGCCCAGAAGTGGCGAAGTGGTTAAGA